TGTGTGTGTGTGTGTGTGTGTGTGTGTGTGTGTGTGTGTGTGTGTGTGTGTGTGTGTGTGTGTCTCTCACCTGGCTGAACGATGACGGTCACCTTGGACGTGTCCTGCTGTCCTGCAGAGTCGGTGACGGTCAGCTGGAAGGTGTAGTCTCCCTCCTGCATGGCAGACAGCTGCAGGGTGGGGGTCCGCACCCCCTGAAACAACAGGACACAGTGAGGACCACCAGCTGGACCTTGAAGACCAACTCAGACCAGCAGGACCCACTCACCTGCATCTCCAGCACCTTGTCCTTGCTCTCAGGACTCAGAGACCACTCGTAGGACAGGTCTTCGTGGTCGTCCTTGCTCTGGTTTCCAGACAGTGTGATGGAGTTCCTGGGCAGCTGGATCACCTGCAGGAGAACTTCATGAGGTCAGGGGCTCAGGTCTGGTCTCCTTACAGGACTAAGGTGCTGCTCAGACCTGGTTGGGCCCGGCGTTGGCCACGGGTCCGTAGTCCTTGACTTTGTTGACAGACAGCTTGGCCAGGGTAGAACTGGTGGCTCCATCAGAGTCCGTTACTGTCAGACTGAGGACAAGATTTCACATGAAGACCACAAGAAACCCTTACCAGGTCTACAGTCCTGAGAGGAGGTCTACCGTCCTGAGAGGAGGTCTACAGTCCTGAGGAGGGTCTACAGTCCTGAGAGGGTCTACAGTCCTAAGGAGGGTCTACAGTTCTGAGGAGGGTCTACAGTCCTGAGAGGAGGTCTACAGTCCTAAGGAGGGTCTACAGTCCTAAGGAGGGTCTACAGTCCTAAGGAGGGTCTACAGTCCTGAGAGGAGGTCTACCGTCCTGAGGAGGGTCTACAGTCCTAAGGAGGGTCTACAGTCCTGAGAGAAGGTCTGCAGTCCTGAGAGGGTCTACAGTCCTGAGGAGGGTCTACAGTCCTGAGAGGAGGTCTACAGTTCTGAGAGGAGGTCTACAGTTCTGAGGAGGGTCTACAGTCCTGAGAGGAGGTCTACAGTCCTGAGGAGGGTCTACAGTCCTGAGGAAGGTCTACAATCCTGAGGAGGGTCTACAGTCCTGAGAGGAGGTCTACAGTTCTGAGGAGGGTCTACAGTCCTGATGGGACCAGGTGTCCTCAGAGACATGGACACATGAAGACCAGCTCATTTACAGAATATAAATAAGTAAGTTTTTATTATAGGACTTTATTTTGAAAGGTCCCACTGGTTTCAGTTTCAGCAGGGGTCCTCCTGTCCCTCTTTATTCAGCAGGTCTTTCTGTCCTCTGTCCTCTGACTGTCCTCTGACTGTCAGACTGTCTTAAAGTCACATCAAACCTGAAGGTGTAGTTCCCGGGGACCAGTCCGGTCAGGGTCAGGATGGGGGTGTCTGCAGAGACCTTCTCGTCCCTCAGAGGACCTTTGACCTCCTCCCAGTGCCAGGACACCACCTTGTCATCGTCGGTGCTCTCTGAGAGGAGGAGCAGAACTGGTTTAGGGTCTGTGGGTCCCTGCAGGTCCAGGTGTCAGGGTCCTGCAGGGACTCACGGCTGCCGTCGATCACCGTGGAGCTGGTGGGCAGAGAGATCTCCTGGAACTCTGGAGAGACCACCACCACTGGGGGCTTGTTGACCCGTGGCTCTGTCAGGCAGGGTGGGGGGGAGCAGGAGGAGCAGGAGGAGGAGCAGGAGGAGCTGATCTGAGGAACATCAGGTTTCTGACGTTTCTTCACACAAACATTCAGAGAAATTTAAAAAGTTTGTTGTTGAATCGTCACCGACCTGCTTCTCCTCCACAGCCTCTGGATCCTGGTCCGGGTCCAGAGCTTCTGGGTTCAGAGCCTCAGCCTGGTCTGGTTCTGGGTCTGGGTCTGGGTCTGGGTCTGAGGTCTGAGGCG